AGGACCATTTGTCTGTGAACATTTGTTAAATCGCACTTGACGGTCTCTACATTAAGTCTATGCATAAACCATGTAAAACACACTCCTTTCAAGAAGGAATGTGGTATTTTCAGGGACCTAAAATGTGAGTAAACAAAGTTGTAAAATGTCAGAAATGTATTGTGGTAATGTCAATTTGATGTGATGGACATCGGCTGAATGGGTCATTCTACGTCCTCGCAAGTTCACGAAACACAGCGGAAAGCGAAAATTAAGTCATCTTTGGGTTCATTACTGAATTTGTTATCCTCCGGAAACCTCAAAGCGGAAATAGAGGCCTATTTGCGCGATCCGACCCACGGATGCTCAGAAGGAAAGGGTGGATATATCGGTATTTTATGCGTGTGCTTATGTATTTGCCGAATTGCCGAATAACTATCTGTGAGGTTACAATATGATGACTGTTTTGTTTACTTTATTTTACACTCAATCCAAAGTACACTTTCTCATATCACCCAAATGTTTGGTATGTTCCGGGGCCTTATGTTGGATTATTTAGTTCCATTTCAGCGTTTGGCCCTAGATATCAACGTGGACTGTTGGATGAAGACTGGAACACTGCTAAATGTGTCACAGAAATATTCTTTGTCGAATTCAGATGTAGTAGTCACGGGGCTTTTTAATGTGTCTTCCGAAAATGAAGAAACTGAGACTTTCGATTTACCTGTACTGCCTGATGCGATGTGACATAAAACAATGCCAGCCGAAGCCTCTGTACCAGTAGAAAAGAGGTCCACATCCAACGACATTTATGTTCTTTTTGGATTTATGGAGTTCAACACTTGTCCACAGTGCGTCTTGTGTAACAAAATTCGTCCGAACAATTCCATGGTGCGGTAAAAATGTGGCGGCATTTTGAGAAACAGCCTGCTAAATGTAAACACAAATACATGGGGACTTTGAGCACAGGAGAGGTAAACTGTTGAACACCGGGAAGTACACGAGCCTCAGACTGTAAATAGAGACCACTTAAGCATCTTTCATAGTTAGTTACCGTATTGTGCCGATGGGAGGACCTCGCAGTAACCGAAAATTTATCAGGCTATGTGCGGTTGAAAAGACTAGGTGCTCGCTAAATGTAAACATCGGCCTAACAACTGTATGTAGAACTACTGTCAAATGATACGGTATCTCAATGAGTTAACACACTCTCAATTGCTGTTAAGGACGCGTTAACCGCCTGCATCAGGTATGCTGACTTTGCTCATCAAATGGATGGGTCGGAAGATGTGGCAAGACTTGACTTGATATTCCTTGTAAGATGCAAACACCTGGTTTCCCTGGAAGAAAACGTGTTTTTGTATAAATCACTCCGGAAGAACACTAGTGGCGCTGAGATGTTCAACATGGTAAATAACTTGGAGCAAGAAAATGAAATTCTATGGTACAGCTGCATCAGTATTTGCACTAACAGTGTCAAAGTAATGGCAGGAAACGTTTTTGGTGTCTTGACAATTATCAAGATCGTCGCAAAAACCTTCACAAGTATCCAGTACATCCTTTATCGACTATCACTTTTAACAAAAATGCCACCTAATCTCAATATGGTCCACGATGATGCAGTAGGAATAATTAATTTCGGTAAATTGCGTCCTCTGAAGAACCAAATTTTCCAAATTCTGTGTGACGAAATGGGAAGAGTTGATTCTGAAGTAACATGGCTATACCGTGGCAAACTGTTACAGCGTTTGGTGGAATTTCGCATAGTATTCTTCGATCTCTTCATTGATCACCATTTTGATTTATATTTCCGGATGACGAGCAGAAATATGATGGCAGGAGTTGTCTATATTTCCGCTACCTTAGCAACAACAAATGACGTAAACCTAGCACAGCAAGGAGAATCTGCGAACATATTCAATACAAAAGATGAATTTCGGAATTTCAAAATAAATTTAGAATTTGGGTGATTTCTGTTTGAACTGTGGATCTCGACAGCGTTACAGCAATAAATACATTTTATGAGTAAAGTAGGTGGGCACAGAACTCCGAGCGGATCTGTCTAAAGAAACTGTGTAGCATTTGGGAGATCTGGAAGAAGCCTTTCTCAGTATTTGTCCAGCGAAGAAGAGGAAACATGGAAAGAATTTTTAGGGATCAAGAACCCAGTTACTTGCACGTAATCGTCTCCTCCTTTCACACCATTTCAGTGTGAGAAATTCATCGACAGGTTATTAGCTTTTTTCTTCACAGTGTTTTACAAACTGTCGCTGTCTGATTTATTTTGTAAAACGAAAGAAGAATACACTGTCATTACGGAAGACAACTGTCGCCGGGCTTCGCAAATTTGGCAAACTTATTTGTGTAAAGGTGCATTTTCTCAGTACAGCCATACAAAAAAGTACCGCAGTAGATTTGAAGCTGAGACAGATATGAGGAAGCAGTGTTCCTTTATCAGAGCAAGCGTCAAACAGGTCAGCGCTGCATGCCAGCATCTATTTCGTCCGACGCATTAAATCTTAATGTACGTGGTATTTTCTACCTAAATTAAAGAGCTTTTATTTCTTACTAGCATTAATGGGCACACGGGTTAAATCAGTGTACAACAATAAATGTTTCCTAAACATTGAGCTGCAGTTTTATTTTCTTAGTGCCGAGTCCTTTGCCTAGCAAGATATCATGGGCTCCGGGCTCCGAGCCCCCAGTAAAGTGGGGACCGATGGTCAATCATTTTTTGAAACGTTGCTATAAAGCACAGGAACAATATAGTCATTTCAGATATCTCGAACTAAGTTAAAGCTTCTCAGTATTGTCATGGTTGTTTAGCGTTCGAGATTTTCAAGTGGCACTGCACCGGCACGCCACCTGTTTTATAAAATAACAACTGGTCGAAAGAGCTCGTCAGATTACCAATTAAGGTAGATGTATCTATTCTGCTGAGCAAATAGATATATTTATGTGATCGGTACGGAATGAGGAATTTTGTCGTCCTAGCACTGAGCCCATAGACGCTCAAGTGAACACGTACACATCTGATTCCGTTTTGCAAATGACACGCTAGTCACTCGTCACTTTCGCGTCATGACGGTGTCGCGTTGTTATTAATTGAAAGAGAAGCGTTCCGATATGAGTCCGCTTTGCAAGCAATTCACGGCGGCCGAAACGGCAGCAGCGGCAGTAGTCGTCAACCAGTCATCATGCTTCTACCAGCGCTACTTAACCACTCAGATAAAGCGCATAGTATCATAAATGATACGTTCGTGAGAGTATTGAAAAGATATAAAAACTGTGAACTTCAGGATGTAACCTATGCAGGGTGGTTGAAAACCTTTGTATGCAACCTACATAAGAAATAGCTAAGGATGCTGTTTATTTCCGCTTGTCTTTCTCAGCTATGATGTAATGTGCACAATGTTCCAATTCGTTTTGTTTTCTGTGCATGGAGGTATGAAGTGAACAGAGATCAGTGATTTACTGAACATTGGCTCGTTCAAATATTTACCGGTGATTAGCTCTTTGCATGGCGAAGAAAGGAAGTCAGACAAAATCCACAGTGACTTCCGCAACAAGATAATAACGATTCCCTTACATGTGTCATAGTCAAACGCATGGCACTTGGATACAAAAGTAACAATGATTTTGTAGATGCGCCGAGATCAAGGAGACCATCAACAGCCACCATGGGTGGGAAACGTTAACCCTGTTTTTGGTGGGATCACGCAAAATTGTCGATAGTCAAGACGTCAAGTAGCAGACCGGTTGTGATTTCACAAGAGAAAACACATAAGATGAAGGTTAAACTTAGCAAATCTGCTCGATAGTTTCCAAATCAATGAACCTCGTGAAGAACCTCATTCGCGCAACATACTAAGGAACAAGTTAGGATCGTTTGACGCCTATATGAACAAGTTCCTTGCTACATCCATTACTATGGATGGGTGTTGAATCCTCCACTAGCATGCTGTAACATAAGGATAATCTAAGCAAAGAAACATGACATCTCTGGCTGCGAAGACAGCCAATATCACCACTCCAGCCGGAAAGGCGATGGAATTGGTATAATGATATGTTTAATGAATTATGCTTATGTATTCCCTTCACAGATGTCTTGCCATCAACAGAAACTAAAACATTTCTTGTAGCGTCTAAGACAAAAATATTCGGGAGGAGGGCAAGTAATGCAGAAGGTTACTATCTTCCACCAATACGGCATTTTTCATGACAGTAATCCCTGACCATATGTGACCATCCACCAAATCTGCCGCCCTCAGGCAATCCTTGCTCCCAACTTTAAAAAAGTTTCATCTGGTTGACGTTGGCTTTGTGACAACGGCGTTGTGGCTACCACTGAGTAGTACGAGGGCTCAATGACCCCTATTTAATCCGAACCTTTTTAGACAGAAATTGAGCCCAGTTGATAATTTGCACATGGTGAGTTTTAGTAAGGAAGGAAAATAGATTCTATAGGACGTCATCTGCACATCACAGATATATGTTTCATTGATTATGCTTAAAGTTTCCAGTCACGATATTCGGTGCATAGCACTACAGCTTCATACGTCTTTACCTTCAGAGCATAAGTGTTCGGATCGTCTGATGTGAATCCATTTGGCTACAAACTGCAGTTAGCTCTGTCTCTCTGCAGAGTGCATTCACCGATGCAGCCAACGGCTTAACTTGTTTCGATCGGTATCGCATTTCGTCGATTGCTCGTGTGATTGCCGGGTTTACAGTCAAAGCAAACGGATACTTTGTGTTGGCACGAAACCGGATCCGTGGTATTTTTTCTTAGACTGCTCGGTATCACAGGGGGCCAACGGTTTTTGTTACTAAAGCCAACACCATCGTGATCTGCGTAGTTGGCGGAGGCCACGCCACAGGCACAGGAATGAGTAAGCTGAGCATCGAGCATTCCATTTTTGTGTTCGTGTAGGTGTGACAAAGAAACCAAACGTGGGAACGCAGCAAACTCATCATTAGAGACTCATATAAATGACCTGTAGTCGCACAGTTTCGCTGTGCTACGACATGGTGCAACAGTACGCCGAAGGAGATTCGGTGCCTGTGACGGTCCAGCCTAAACAGGACACTTTTCGTGATTGGCATGATGGACTATTCGGTTGTAAGAATGACTACAAATCCTGTAAGTAATAAATGTACTATGTAAGTCTATTACAAATCAGACGGTAGTGTAGAATATGCAATGGCTGAAAAATTGTTAACTGTTGCTCACTTTAGTAATTGTATGCTTAGAATAGAATAATGCCCAAAATCTATCTGATCTAGGCAAGCAATAACAGACCACACCAATCAAAGTTTATCTTGAACAAATCGTTATCTGAAGGAAAACTGCTTGCCTATGCATGACAGTAAACTCAGTACCAAAGTAATTACATTGTATTGGCATGAGTTGTAGACACGAACTTCCAGACATTTGTTATTTGATCCCATAGAGTTTCAAAGAGAAATTTTATATTAGTAAGACGTTTTCGTATATAATTCTCTAAACAGGATGAATACTTGTCAGCACTGAAGCTGTGACGCTATTATAATGGCATATATAAGCTATGCTAGGGGTGTACCTAAGTCACTGCACCGCTTTTCACTATAGGCAGAATAATTTTTAAATTATTTTAGAATGTGATTTGAGTGGGGGATTTTGAGGTGATTAATTAACAGTTCGTCGAACCAGCTTCCAAATCAGATGGTCGTACGTATGCCCAAAAAGGTACTAGACTGCATTTTCAACCTTGTGCACATCCGTTTTAATGCGCATTCATCAGATCCTTCTGGACTCGAACTCATGTTAATCAGTGGCTTGCATTGCCAGTCAGAAGCTTATGCCACTGGGTCACAGGGGGAAATCTAGGACCGTCATGATCGACAGGTGAACTGTTAGCACGTGGTATAATTGCACGTGGTATAATCCACTGCCATACAAATTACAAAGGTTGCAGGGGACAGGGTTGGTCCCGTAAATTGCAACCTCCATTGGCGGTCGCTATGTACGGCGTAGCATTTAGAAATGGTTAGGGCGAATATTTTGACGCAATTATGAACGAGTGATTTTGCTATAATTACTTAACAGAGATAGACTTTTTGACCGCTATCATGGATACATGGACGATATATTTGTTGTGATGGACAAATATATTAATCCGGAGGAAATTCTTGACCACTTCAACCGAGTGCATGCAGCAGTGCAGTTTACTTACGAGAAGGAAAACGATAATCGACTGCCATATCTCGATGTTTTGTTGATTAGGAGACCAGACGGATCCATCCAGCGTCAGGTTTATAGAAAAACAACGGGGATAGGTCAGTACACTAACTTTTACAGTTTTGTTCCCATGACATACAAGCGCAACGTGGTTCACTGTCTTACGTCAAGAGCACGTCGAATCTGTACGGAAGACACCCTAGACGCGTAGCTAATTTTTATACAGAACTCTCTACGTGAAAACGGTTATCCCGATAGATTTATCTTAAGGAACCTGCAAGAAAAATCCAAACCAGTGCCCGTGTTAACAACACCCAAGAAAGAGTTGTTTATTCGCTTGCCATTCAAAGGTGACGCGGCTACCGAGCGTCTAACCAGAAGCCTTTCGGCCGCGGTAAAGTCGACCTTTCCTGCAGCCTCGTTGAAGTGCGTGTTCTCAACAAAACCACTCATTCGTTCACAAAACGAGGACAAACTGTCGATGCTGACCACATAAATGGTAATTTATCAATTTGTGTGCGCCTGTGGCGCGACGTATATTGGTCGAACGGCGCGGCAGTTATCAAAACGCGTGAACGAACATTGCCGGCCTTGGCTGCGTCAAGGGGGCATCGGGACCATTAGTAGCGCCATTCTGGCCCACATTGTGGACATCGGCCATGAGGTGGATTGGAAACGCGCTTTCCGAATAGTTTACAAGGTTCCGCCGCACCGAACGAAAGGTTATCGCCTACGTACGCTTGCTACGGCTGAAGCAATATACATTCGATTGTTCCAGCCGTCCTTATGCTCACAGAAGAAGCTGGTCCAGGCTCTCCAGCTTCCCTGGCCAGCGAAGATGGAAGACGCCCAGGTTGACTGCCTTCGGTCAGATGCGGTAACAAGCAGTTAGCCCTCTAACACCTAATTCGTTTTCTCCACTCTGATATTGACCTTCACGTGATCAAGTCATTTTGAACTAACTGGGTCGATTTCTCATTCTAGCCTCTATATGATTGTAATGGTCTGATGATGAATCATTGAAAGCAATTGCTCACCAGATGGTCTTTTGTTCTAGAGACTTAACAGTTCGTCGTACCAGGTTTCAAATCAGATAGTACTACACATGCATAACATTGCTATTTCGGATATTTTTCTGTAGAGAATTTTGAGGTACTTAATGGAGTGTTCTTCTAAACGTATTCAAAACTGAAAGTCTTTCACGTGCCCATAAAAGCACTGGAAACAAGTTTTGAATATTTTGAGCATTGTTGTATGCAGAAACGTTTAGGGCGGGTTGTATGAGGCCATATAACGGCGCCATTATGCTAAGAGATGGACTTCAGTTCTTTGCACCGTGTTTCACTTTGTACAGATCTCTTTTAAACCAGTGTAGATAGATTTATAAGTTGTGAAACGCAAATCACAAATGGTCACAGATTAGGCGCAGGAGGCCCGTGGCTGTCGGTATGGAGGTCTCAATGACAGACAAATCCGGAACCAGATGCTGCCAACCACGTTAAAGCAAGTCCAGTATGTCTTTGAGGGTTTTCTTAGGTGTCTGCCTGCTAGGAAACTGCGCACAGACAGCACTGCATTATGCTGTGAATATTAGAAAATGCTGCAACACATTCTGACGTCCGCTGTACCCAGAGAAGTCTCATGTTGTTTACAAAATAAACGGAAATCTGTGGACTAAAATATACAGACAGTCAGAGCAGGGCTGCGGGGAAGTATTCTTGCTATCCAAATCAGTTTACATCAGTACTGACACCACTCAGTAAACTTGCCCTTGACTACGGAAGCGGACAACAAAGTTTGGTAGTGAAACTATGCCTACAGGATACATGTAGTTGGGTTAGCGTGTTAACGAATAGCAAATGTTACTAGCACTTGTGGTCGGATATATTAGATCACCAGTTGACCATGAGTCTATTAATTAACAGAGAGGGAACAAACAAGGTAGCGCACTGTGTTTGTGACAAAAAGAACGTCATCATAGACGCTCAGGAATAATCTACAAGAAACGAGATTGTGGCCATTCCGGGTTAGTGTCAGGTGCACATCAGGAGAAACAAGTGCGTTATTATGCGTGAGAACGCCTTAATTCGTTTGCAATGGGGTGAAGAGACAGGATGTATACAGTATAAGTTGCGTCGAAATAATCAGGTTCCCAGGTTGAAACGAGATATGACCGTATGCCTAGTTCGATGCATACAGTGACTCAAACTAGTACATTCAGTCGTATCACTTTAGTAGATTGTAAACGAAATGTGTGCCCAGCATATGCATTACGTGGAATTAGCTACCGTTTTGTTTGCTTTAGTTAGGTAACAGTTAAGATCCAAATATTACCTGAAGATGAGAATGCACCAACAATTGAGATAAATCTTCTTATTACTCACAGGCATTAAAGCTAACAATTGACATGCGAATTCCAAACCGTCTACTTTGGTAATCAAATTAGGTACTTTTAGTATAAATTAAAGCGATAAAAGTCGGAAGCTAACTAAAGACTATTAACACCAGTGTCGAAATAGCATCCGACTTAATGCTTGAAACTGTTTCTTTTCCACCAATATGTGCTACCGATAAGTTTAAAAATCAGCTGCTTTCGGGCTTACGGCATATTTGACAACGTATCGATGTGCCCAAACACAGCCGGTATCGCAAAGTTGTAAAATCCTTGTGTGTCTCCAATCTACTGAACGTCAGGGTTTTTCATGGTCAATCATAGAAAATAAACTGAGGCGCATCTACAAGAGGCACAATAATTTCGCCAAAAAGAAGAATGCTGTATGGAGGGTTGCCGTACGAAAGAAAACATTGCGGATCATAAGTATACCCAGCATAATAAGCTCAAACATCCGATCAGTTAGGAGCGAAATGGATGAGATTAAAAGCAAGATTCGCTATCATGAATACTCGAAGCATGGCTTAGTCGTGATTCAGGAGACGAAGGTCTATGAAGACGTTGACGATGAGGTAGTAGCGATCGAGAGAAGCTTTTGCTATCCTGATTACCGGTCAACTACATACGAGAGCTGCGGAGGAGGTGTCATCATTTACGTCAAACCTGTGTGGTACACATCAACAAAATTTGGTTTTGCTTTTACTCTCCACTTCCTAACGGTTTGATTTTATAGTATAAACCACGATGTCTAAGTACCTACCAATCGGTTTTGCTCGCAAATATCTACCTTGCTCCCAGTTGTCCCAATCCTGAGGGCGGTGTAATTTTACTATCAGTTCACTTCAGCCGACATGGACCACACTGATTCTTCTCTTTGCATCGTTGCTGGGGATTTTAATAGATTTGACACTACTTTTCTTACAGACGGGCTGCAAAAAGTTGTAAACTCCCCCGCCAGACTTGAAGCAACTATGGAACTTATATTTATTAACAATGTGAGGCTGTTATTTGTGTGCAATCAGGCACCGATTGGTAGTTCTATCCACTCAAACATCATGCTATCTCCTACCGTGCACAGCAAAGTAAATCACAGGGATATCACTAGTTAGAAAGATTGCGGACTCGAAAGAAGACAAGGTTCACCTGAGAACATTTATCGCCCACAGGAAATGAATTATTCACAACTTTTATTATATTTTTTGACAAAGATGTACCTGGATACTGCGACCAATCGAAGACCTACATCAACTTCTGCTATGATATCTGCTGTCCACTGGCAACCATTTTCATTCGTGCGCAACGGCTTTTATCTCCATACCTAAAACGCTTGCGTAGACGCAAAGATAAAACCTTCAAAACGAAAGACCACGCTGCGATGAAGTCCTTTTCCATTTCTTTCAAAACTGAGTTGAGCCTAATAAACCACCTATATATCCAGATCATACTTGGAAATAGCAGCTGCCGAGATGTCTGGCATATGCTGAAACAACTTAGTAAAGTCTCTAACCGAGTGTCAAATTCAGATTTAGAC